ATTTATAATATAGACATCGTTCCGAACCCATAATATCATCAATACCTACTCATATTATTTTTGTGCCACCTATATCACTAAGATTTACGTGTATTCCATATAAACTGCAGCTGCATATTTCAGTACAACAACCCGTCCGTGTCGCCAAATAGTGTGCTAAAACGACTCTATCCATACGAAAGTTTCATGAACCCGGACGGTAAACGATCCGTTAACAGCATATTGTCGTCTCTCTGTCCCGAAAATGGAGACGAACCGATCAATCGTCATGTCGCGTCCGTTGRAGGACTGGATAACCAAAACGAGGCCGAAGTCGTTCTAGACAATTCTAAACGTTTTACGGTAGGTGCTACAGAATAAACAACAATATTACACATATCTACATCGTCTGCTATGTATTGCATGACATAACATTCCGTATTACTTGTTCTAATTATATAATATTATACTATACTTAGGTCCCGTCCGGAAACGCTCCTTCCCTAAACGTCGCTACACTGTTCCCGGATTTCGTAGATACAGGTTATCAAAACGCTATATTGTCGGATCTTGCGCTCAGTCATTCGGCGGCTGACATATGTATCATTGGACTAAGAGGCAGTGGAAAGACGGCAATTGTGAATAGGTTTGCGACCACATTTCACTACAACGTTGAAACCGTTTCCCTGTATCAGGTTAGGTTCAAAATCAATTTTATTCTTTATTTTTTTAAATTATTTTACTTTCCAATAGGATTTGACAGCAAGAGATTTAATTCAACAAAGAACCACACTACCAAACGGTGATACTGTTTGGAAGTATAGTCCGTTAGTAGTTGCCGCCATCGAGGGTAAATTAGCCGTCCTTGACGGCCTTCATAGACTGCATTCGTCTACTTTGTCTATTTTACACAGGTAACATTTTATACATCGTTTTCACCTACTTGAAAAATCTATCTTAGAAGCTCATTGGCTCATTKATCATACCTATTATTTAATTCTATAATTTAAAGTAAATAGTAATAAACATATTATATGTTTTTCAGACTTGTTCAAGACCGAGATCTTCAACTTCATGATGGCACTAGACTGTTAAGATCAGACAGATATGACAAACTGGTAAAAAAATTAGGAGTCGATGTTATGAACAAATCAAATATAATTCGCATACATCCGGCTTTTAGAATTATGGCACTTGCAGAACCACCTGGTTAGAATTGTTTTAATGCAAATGTTGGCATATCACTTATATATTATTAAAACCATTTTGTATGTGTTAGGTGGCACCATTCCACAATGGATCACTCCGGAAGTATTAAACATGTTCATGTTTCATGAACTTAGACCTTTATCCGCTATTGAGGAATTGACAATCGTACAACATCTTGTAAGATTTGGATATTTGAATCATTTATTTCATGTGTAATAAGTGAAAAAWTTTTTTTTCAAGTATCCAAATAGTGTAAACTCGATGAAAAGACTAGTGGCTGTTACAAAAAAACTTCGAGAATCAACTGATATTTATTTGAATTCTTTGGCTCCTTCTTTATCTACACGTCAGTTGTTACGAATCTCAAAAAGACTTGATAAATATCCTGATTCTGACTTTTACAGTATTGTTAACAAAACTTGTTTATCTCAGTATGTTTTTTTTTTTTTTACTTGATATTTTGGAATAATTTATGCATGTATTAATACATCCTTTTCTTTTGCCTATAGATTTTTACCACAACTGACAAAAAAAATGCTTGAAAAAACATTATACAGTTGCAGTATACAACCAATTTTTGAAAATGTACAGGACTCTTCAATAAACTACAAATATGATGATGACAATTTAACTATTGGTAATACAACTGTTGCACGATATAAAACTAATGCATCTAGTAAAGTTCCAAATATCTTATTCTACGATTTACCTCAAGTAAGTATACAATTCTGAAAAACAGTAATGATTAAAATATGTATGTGTAGTTAGAAAAAACTTTTTCTCTAGCATTTGAAACAACTAGAACTTATGCTACAAGACTTTGTTTTGGGAGAACATCTCTTGTTAGTTGGAAACCAAGGCGTTGGTAAAAACAAACTTGTTGACCGATTTTTACAACTGCTAAATAGGCCTAGAGAATACATTCAACTCCATAGGTATGAATTGATTAATTTATCCTTTTTTWATTTTATATTGAGGATATTTTTTTTCCAGAGATACTACTGTACAGTCATTGACTAGTCAACAAACAGTAATTGATGGTGTTTTGCATATTGAAGATTCACCATTAGTTAAAGCTGTTAAGAATGGTTACGTTTTAGTTATTGACGAAGCAGACAAAGCACCAGCTCATGTGACATGTGTATTAAAAAATCTTGTAGAAACTGGTAACATGAGACTTGCTGATGGTAGACAAATTATTARTAATGCTAATATTATAAATGATGACAGTATGATTGTACTTCATCCAGACTTTCGAATGATAGTTTTAGCAAATCGACCAGGATTCCCATTTTTGGGAAATAACCTATTTAGCACACTTGGTAAATATTTATCATGGTATTTAAATTATAAATGTACTAATTGATGTATGTTTTATTCTAGGTGATGTATTCAGTTGTCACATTGTTGACAATCCTAGTCGTGAATCTGAAACACAGCTGTTGAAAAGCTATGGTCCTGATGTTTCTCAAGAAGTTATTGACCAAGTAATTGCTGCTTTTGGAGATTTGAGACTGCTATTCGATCAAAACTTAGTCTCATATCCATATTCAACTAGAGAAGCAGTTAATATAATCAAACATTTACAGATGTATCCCCAAGATACATTATTAGATGCCATTAGAAATGTATTTGATTTTGACAGCTATTCCAAAGAAGCGCAAGAAGTAATCACAAATGTTCTTAACAAACATAAATTACCAATAAAACTATCACCTTGGGCTGGTCCAACTCGTAAGTAATCCAATCAATTTTTAAGGGTCTAATTTTTTATGAACTATGATGTTACAGAAAAAAAAAATCTTCAAATCACTGTAGAAAAAGAAAGTGGTCTTGATGTTTCTAGCCCAAAACATGGGAAGGTGGATGAAARAAACGAACCTCATGTTGGTGGAAACACTTGGGCTGGTGGTACTGGTGGCAGGGATACAGCTGGACTAGGTGGAAAGGGAGGTCCTTATAGGCTAGATGCAAAACATAAAGTTTTTCAAGTAGGTTACATTGAGATAATTTTTAATAATTTTTGTATTTTTTTTTTTTTAATTATATATGTATAATTTACATGTTTACCAACAGGTTTCTGATGCAGAGAAAGATGCAGTACCAGAACATGTCAAAGAAGCAGCAAGACAAATGGGTCAAAAGGCATATAAGGAACGTCTCAAGGAAATAGAGATGACTGAATATGATGACAAAGTATACAATGAATACTCTTTACCAGTTAAAAATCAAGTAAAATAAAATTTTTCATTTTCAAAGGATCAATTTTATTAAAATAAATAAATTTGTTGTTTAGGTGCAAGCATTAAGAGTGATATTGAATTCATTACAAGCTAAATCTCAAGAAAGACAATGGATTAGGCATCAAACATCTGGTGAACTGGATGACAGTAAATTAATAGAAGGTAATAAAAATAAAATGCATTATATTTGAATCTTTAATATATTTATGAATTTATTAGGAGTTATTGGTGAACGTTCTATTTATCGGAAACGGGGTAATGTCGACCCTCAGATTGGAGCTCCTCAATTAAAACCAAAACGTTTACGGTTTATTGTTGATGTTTCTGGCAGTATGTATAGATTCAACAACTATGATGGACGTTTAGACCGTGAACTTGAAGCTGTCATAATGGTGATGGAAGCTCTTAGTGGTTTTGAAGACAAAATTAGTTATGATATTGTCGGACATTCAGGCGAGACAGAATGCCTTAAGTTTGTAGATAAATCAAATCCGCCCATTGATAATAAGCAACGATTAGATGTTATTAAAAAGATGCATGCTCATACTCAATTCTGTATGGCTGGTGACAATACTCTTCAATCTGTTATATATGCACAAAAAACCTTAGAAGCTGAACGCATTGATTTCGACGAAGCTATAATTATACTATTATCAGATGCTAACTTATCGCGCTACAATATAAGACCTGATAGATTGGCTGCGGCACTTAATTTGAGTGAAGACATTCAATCTTTTGCAATTTTCATTGGATCACTAGGTGATCAAGCAGACGTGTAAGTAATCAACTATATTTAACCTGCATTACYGAGTGTCATATTGTCCTTGTGCTGAAAATGTTTAAAGCCGCRTACACACTTGTAACATTTTCTGTTACGCTGTAACGCCGTAACACYGTTCCACCAGTTGTCGGTAAATTGAGTCGCATCAAAGGATGTTACGCGCTAATGTTACAAGTGTGTACGTGGCTTATAAACTAATAACTAATGAATAAATAAATGTATTATGTGATTGGTAAATTTTGAAATAATTAGTTTTAAAAGTATTTTAAAATATTATTTTAATTTACTATTGTTGTCAACAGTCATTAGCCATTAGTTGTATTGATGAAAAGTATTAATTTATATTTTATGAATTGCAGGTTAACTAATAGCTTACCAGCAGGTAAAAGTTTTGTGTGTATGGACCTCAAAAACATCCCACAAATCATTCAACAAATTTTCATGTCTTCTATTATGAGTGTTTTTTAAAACATCTGGTGTTTTGTTATAAAAGTTGTATGTGTCCAGTGGCATACCTAGAGGAGGGGCTTAGGGGGCATTAGCCCCCCACATTAGCAATGTTATGGAATAAATTTTATGTAATAAAAGACAAGGTAATACAAACCATGATATTTCTGAAAATGGCATTAAATACTACATATTATCTTTAGTAACGACCTAGTATAAGCTAGACCAACTACTGTTAGACTTTATTKAAACTAGTTTGTTAAGATGTCAAATTTTTATTTATTTTGTTTAGCCCCCCCCCCCTCTTCCATTCAAAAATTCTAGGTACGCCACTGTATGTGTCTGTAAATAATTGGTTATTGTAATTTTATGGTTTTAAAAGATTAAGAAATTGTAGTTACCAAATAATATAAATTTATTTCGTATAAAAATTGCTGTGATAGAACTAATTTTTCAACAATAACGTTTTATAATATATTTTTCATCACACTTGTATTTATTAACTATTTATATTTTTAATATATTACTATTTATCTGTATCATTAAATACCTATATATTTTATTTTCTAGTTTTGAGCTTGATTTTCTACAACAGACTAAACAGACTACACATTTCTATTGAAGATACCTAATTATATTTGTATCTGATATCAGAATTCTGCAGAATAGCACATTTTCTCCGTGGCTCCGTTTTAGAAATAAAAAAGTCTTTAATGGTTAATGTAACCTATTGAAAAAAATGTTGACTGACAAAATTGATAAAAATACATTGAAAATTGAAATTCAAAAAAATAATCATTTAAATTAAATTAAGCACATGTGGTCACAGGTCACATCTACACGTCAAATTATTAATTAAATTTCTGGAACTTAAAATATGTAATCTATTATTATTTATATATCATATACGATATACCTACGATTTACGAGTAGGTACGGACGCAATTTACTAAGATATCTAAGTGCGTGCCTATAGTGCCTACGACTTATGAGCTAYTACTGATTGGCATTTTGCGGTAGCCCCATTGCTAACCCACATTTCATACAATTATAAATCAATATAATAATAACAGCGATTGCGGATAGCGATTGTTGGATATCTTTGATGTATTTATATAAAATTATTGCAATTACCTAAGTTATTTAATAGTTTTAATTCAGGCACGTCACCAAGGGGGGGGGGCCTTAGAGAAATGTCAGTGGCCCCGGACTGGCCCCTTGATTTTTATTTTTAAATTTTATGGTGTGTAATATAATTGTCCCACGCCGGTTAAATCCTAATATTCCTAATTGTATATTATATGGTACTCCATAATATAGTAAGTTAACGATCGTATAACAAAAATTAAATTCCGAAATTTTAAAAATATTCGYCAATAATACAAGATTGACAATAAGACGTCTATTAATAAATTGAAATCTAGGAATGCCAAATACGGGTATCGAACGCACATTTGATAAACACAACTACAGACAATACTATATATAATAGTGGACCAATACGGTAATCGTATAATAAAATAAACATGCCTAACATAAGTCCCCAGGGATGGAGTGGCSCACCAGGATACTGAAAATTCCCGGTGCCCTGGAAGCTAAATGGCCCGTTTACCTAAAGTATAGATAGAAAAAAAATAATGTAGAGTAATGAAAGAGTATTTATCTATATACGAAGACGAAATCGAATTTAATTGATTATTTCTTTATTATTTTGATATTTTAAATTATGATAAAGCCATTATTRTAATTATATCTAAAGCTAAAATAGTTTATTCTTTGTAAGTTGCTATATTTATTTTAATTTCATTAGAACATATTATGATTTATTATTATTTTGGTTTGTGTACCTAATTTTATTTTAGTTTTTTTAATTGTTTTATCTGTAAAATACATACACTATAATAATATATAATTTTAGTAAGTACCTATTTGTTGTTTGCCTGCCTATATACGTATATTACAAAATTAAATAAAATAAAATTTTTAACCAGGAGATGAACATTTTGGGTGGCCTGGAGGAACTTAATTTTCTTGGCCTGAATTTTTTTCTCACTCCACCTCTGTATGTCTCAATATAATATTATTATCTATAGAGTTAGAGACTTAGCACTAAGCAGCGAACCATAGAAATAGACGACTTGTCCTAATATAGCTTTTTAAGATGTATATTGTATACCTATATTAATAAATAACAAAAATATAATGCTAATACCTAACTAATACAGACAATACATTGTGAAATGTAGTATTATTTTTTATATATGTTGTCTGATAAGGAGAGGAGTGGTATTGGGTACAAAAAACAGAAAGGGGCCAAAAAATATTGGCCCCCTTATAGAAAAATGTCTAGTTACCTACGTGCCTGAGTTTTATACCCGAAAACGTTGCATTTGAAAATGTCGTCGTGTGTAAGGTAGTTAACGCACTAGTGCGTATAAAATATAATAATATTTTTTTTTTTTTATAAATTAATTTAAGTACTTTAAAAGTTGCAAGTATCTTACTATTCTTCGTTTAATTATCTAATTTTGTTTATTTTTGTAGTTTTGTACGTAAAATATCAATAGAAAAAAAGTGTAGTTGGTTACAATTATGGTATGAGCTACAATTATGAAACACAGAAAAACATTGTTTTAAATCGTTAATCATTAGTCGTAAAAATTTAACATTTTATTAATTCTTAACTATAAAATAATTTGAAAATGTTCGCGATCCCAAAATAGATTTTTAAWTTTTAACAATATAATTTTCCGTCCAGTCCCGCCTGTTCATGTAAATTTAATAGGGGACAATACATACGAATTCAATCTGATTGTAGCTGTCCGTTATCTACTAGTTTGTGGGTAAGTCGTTCACTCGTAAATGATTATTATTATAGTGTGAGTGCGGACAGTGCGGTTGTATATGGATTATGTTTATGTGGGTGCCGGCAGGTGCACATATCATGTCAACGACACCGCCAACCAAAATAAAAAGTATTTTTTGCTCAAAACGCTTTACATACGAACACTCGGGCAGTCAGATCTCAAGGTGGTTAAATTTCATTTTTTTTTTTTTCTGAAAGAGAATTATTTTATATAGGGCATATTATATTTTATTGAACATTTGAACTTTGATTATGTCTTAGGTTCATTAAAAATACTGATTAGAAACCAACGTGAGGCATAATCCCTGGCGGGCTTTATGTCTCTCCTCCAATGGCGTCCCCGGGGGGGGGGGCAAGACGGGGCACTTTCCCCCTCTGGAATAATGTTATTTCCACAGCAATTGGTAAAATAGGTTTAATGGTATAATAATGTTTTTTAATGTTTTAATTGTAATAATGACGAAACAATAATTTAGGTACTATGAATAAAATGTATAAAAAAATTTTCATTTATTTTTAAAATTCATTTTGTCCTCCCCCCCCTTAGTAAAATGTCTGGGGACGCCCATGCTCTCCTCCACTACAATACAAATCGATAATCGACATACAAATTATTATTTACATCACTCACATTCAATAACAATTCTATTTTAGTATTTTATATCTATTTCATATTTTTTGTCAAGGAAACAGCTGAATATAATACACGACTAACAAGCACWCATAATAATATCTATTGTAAAATATAAGGTACCTATGCGCTACGCTCATATTCTATMATATTTTTTACGGAAATCGTGACAATTCCTATCGTCCGTGTTCATAACACATAATAACAGAAATTCTGTAGCATTGATTAAATACACAGAATTATTTTTAGTCAATGACTGTAGCTACTGTAGGTCTGTAGGTGACCAGYGTAAGTACTAATGTACAATACATAGACAATATTTATTTTATATTAATATTAATAATATTATTGGGTATACGGTATACACTTTCAAAATTATATTTACTATTTTTTTCTTTATAAGGACTTAATTTATTAGGAGTATTAGGACTTTTTTTGGGGTTAAATTCGGCTGCAATGGCGTAAAATATTATAAACTTAGTGGCTTAAGGCTTTATAATATAATATTATTATGTATAGAAAATGACACCCCTTTAAACAGAAATCAAATTATTAGTAGTGATGCTTGAAAATATAGTAAGGCAGGGCTTGCGCTAAGAAAATTTTAGAACTGCCCAACATTTTAATATCTTTTTGCATGCACATTAAATAAATTTGTCACTCACTAAATTCGCTTAACAACCACTATTTACCACTATTTATTATAAATTAACTACACATGTAAACTWTATCCATAAYAATTTATTAATAATAATAACAGATTAAAACATTTTTTTTTTTTTTTAATCTTTAGTGTCTTTGCCACTTATCATCACTATCGTTCATTTTGTTTTTCCCAGATGTGTGATAAAACCAAACAAAAAATATTAAATAAAATACATATTATAATTAAATAAAACAATATTACATAATATGCCAATAATACAGAATATTCACGATTTTTGATACTGATCAAATTGGTTTTTAGAATTGCCCATTTTAATTTAGAACTACCCATTAGCGCAAGCTCTGTTGCAGGGTAAAATATACATAAAATAATATTATAGGTAATGTATTTGTATAAATTTAAACTGCATTGTATAACTTTTCGAACCTTCCTTAACCAAAAAAAAGTTATTTATCACTTATTCACTGTTTTCTTTTTCACTGATCGATCAAACGACAATATATTGCGATCTGTGCTCCCCTCCACACCCCCACCCAATATAACATTGAATTATTTGTAGGAGGGCCCTGGCTTAAAATCTAAATATGCYACTGCTCATTGTAAATTGAATGAAATCTGATCTAAAACATACAARTTTGGTGTTTGATATAATATACAGGGTGATTCTTTTAAGTGGGTACACTAATTATCTCGAAAAGTATTTACTTTTTTCATAATATTTTTACATGGTTTCAAGTTGTTAAAAAACCAACGTTTTTATTAAAAAAATATTTTTTATCCTTATCATTTTTTAATTTTTTAACTTTTTTGAATGACAACATAGTTTTAATTTCATATTCCAAAGCAGAATATTTTTCTTAGTATTTTGATTCATA